AAAGGACTCTGTAGTGCCCTGCATCTCGACGCGCTCTTTCAAACAAAAAAAAATTTAAATATATTGACAGAGCCTGGACCGAGAATTCCTTGCCAGAAGATCAAAAAATCATAAATCGAGAAAAAACGAAAAGGTGGGTGTGGGTGTGGGTGTGTGGGTGTGGGTGTGGGTGTGTGGGTGTGGGTGTGGGTGTGGGTGTTGGTCCTGAATTCATCCACACGCACATGCACACACCCACACCCACATCCACATCCACACCCACCCTTAAGAGAAACTACTCTATATTAAATGTATTTGAACAGAAACATAATGCTACATAATAAAATAAAGAGCTACTTGAAAAAGAAATCACTGCACCAAGAATAAAATAAAACAGAACCGAACAGAACTGACTCTAATAAAATTAAAACACACATATATAAATAACATATGGAAGCAGAAAAAAAAAGAGGAAGAATGTTATTGCAGATAACATTCTTTCAAAACCAAATGTAATAAAAGAAAGGAAGCGAGAACAGTGTGATCGCTGATAATCCCATTGTTGTAGTTGCTGTCGTTGAATCAGACGAGACAGTAGAACCACTTGAAGTGCTTCCTAGAGATGTTGTTGATGTTCGTCCATTATTGTAAGCTAAGAGATACGATGGAATGTCTATACCACTTGTACATGTTGTAAAATTGACATTACAATTATTTGTTGTACAAAGACAAATTGCGATATTATATTGTCCGGAACCATTCGGCACTATTGTTACGATACTTGTAGAAGTTTGATACTGGTAAAAGCCAGAACTGTTGTTACTACTGAGTGCACCATTATAAATAGCCTGATACATCAAAGTTTCATATTCACCTTCAATCATGGCCATAAAATAGTAACCTTGTATTGGATCATAAGCACCAGCGCATATTAGAGTATGATTAGGAGTATAGATAGAGCATTTTAAAATATCCGTTTCACCAAAGGTAATAGTATTAGAACAACCTTGATACAAAGGAGGTGTGATATTGTACCTTGAAGAGGAAATGGCACGGATATCTTGACATGTTATTGCGTTTGATAATGTTGGTTGAAGAACAGGCAACAATGAAGGGGGTGAAAGAGTTGTTTGATTGACTGATGTTTGGCAAGTTGTATAGGTAGCACTACAGTTATTTGTGGAACAAATACACAGTTGTATCGATATTGCATTCTCATAATAATATGGGATGCAGTTTCCATAACCAATATCCATCCCTGTTGAAAAGTTACATTGATTGACAGCAATATTGCGATACATATTCCACAGCCATATCCCACTTCTGTAAGTCTTGGTTCGAGGTAAATTATTAAAAAGTATAGTTGTAATTGCAATAAGACAATAATCATACCCTGTATCATTTAAAATACCAAATATAGTATTTTGATAAGTTACTGTACCATTGTATGATATTTCGCTTTGTTGTAAACATGTTAAATTTCGCCTGGTATAATTGAAGACTGTGGATGCTGGCGCAGTTAAGAATGAACTACTGAATGATAGAAATAATACACAGATGAAAAGTCCTTGGAATAGCATATGCTTCATCGCGACGCTTTTGGCTGAACTCTGATCAGAAGTTTTTGAAAATATAGAATTTTCTATAGAATCAGTTTTTCTAAAATATAGAATTTTCTTTGAAAAATGGTAAAAATATAAAATTTTTTACGTATTTATGATAATAAGATGTTTAATTTGAAGGACTCTATCACCTGGTATTTTTTCTCCTAGAGTGTTAGTCAGAATACTGTAGAACGGATAGGCACTAAAACAGGATGATGATTTACTTGTCCATTAAAAAAAATAATCGTTTCAAACACTATTTATTCAGACAAACGTTAAAAGGCATCTTATCGGACGTTAGTAAATTGAAGAAAAACCTATTCAAGATTTCCAATCAAGCAAATGAAATGCACAAAAGTTTATTGACTATTTATGAATTCGGTAGAATGAAAAATGTCGAATGTAAAAAATATTACAAACGAATATATTGCAAATGAAAGCAATGTCATTCGAGCGCACACTATCGATGTCTAAGTGCCAGATACGAATGCTACTGCCGATTATTCACGCAATGTTGGTAAAAGGGTGTGCTGAAGCAGAATTTCTAACGTTTTCGATATTTTTTTTGGCGTTCTTTCTTTCCCCGAAATCCATGCCATTCATTTATTGTGATTCCAACGTTACATCTAATCTGCAGAGAAAACGTACAGTGGGTGTGGGTGTGGGTGTAAAATTGATATTAACCCCACCCACACTCCACACCACACCCACTAACACCCATATCCCACATCCACACATCCACACACCCACACCCATCGCCACCCACCACACCCAGGGTGTGGGTGTGGGTGTAAAATTGATATTAACTCCACCCACCCTCCACACCACACCCACTAACACCTATATCTCACACCCACACCACACCCACTAACACCTATATCTCACACCCACACCACACACCACACCCGCTAACACCTATATCTCACACCCACACCACACACCACACCCACTAACACCTATATCTCACACCCACACCACACACCCAGCCACATCCACATCCACACCCTAATTTTCATTAAATATTATAGTAAAACCTCCCTATAGTGGACACTCTTCGGACTTTTGAAGTGTCCACTATTGAGAGGCTATTATTTTCCAAGCAGCAGCTGTTCTTTTTTCAAAAAAGACACACCGTTCTAGATATTCACAGAACGTTATTTAATCAGTTAATCGACTCGAGCATGTTATTAATTCTCTCTCTGTGAGTTTTATCGTTGAACATATAAAAATTAGCAATTATTAAAATAATATTTGATAGAGCTCTTTGAAAGATGTTAGTTGATTTCGTCCGGAGATCGGAGACAAGAGTGTCACTTGAGAGTGTTGAGTGAACACAAAAGGGCTATTGTCCAAATGATACTGAAAATCCAGCAAATTAGTATAGAAAAGGTGTTATTTAGGGAGCTACACTACAAATGTACGGAACCAAGACCTGATCAGTTTTCAGGAGTTGTACAGAACTGGGACTGGAAGCGAGAGTAACTTCAGGAAGGTTGAGTCTCGTAAGCTCCGTCACTTTTTACAGAAAAAAAACAAAACTTCTGTGTCTAAAAAAACGTTTCTCCTATGTAAATATAAATAATAGCTTGATGAGCCTCGTGGAACTTGCGCCTGTGATGTTTTTAAAGTCTTCTAGAATTTCTGAGCTTTTTGTAAGACACTACTTAATGCTTTACGGGACTGCCGATCAGAACCGGGACTAAAAAATTACTAGTTTTTTTCATCTTTTAGCTACTCACAAAGACATGAAGCTCTATTATAATTTTTAATGATTCAGACAAAATTAGCGAGCTTTCTATTCAAGAGATAGAGTCGTTCTTTGTCTTCCTCTATGTCAACTAACTCCCTCAGCTGTTGATTAGCATCTCACCAATTGAAAACATGAATGCAAGACTCGATATTGACGAATGCAACAGTCGATAATTACTGACGAATGATTCGAACCACTCTCTCCAAATTCCTCAAAGTAGTGTCCACCGTACAGAGGGTGTGGGTGTGGATGTGGGTGTGGGTGTGGAGTGTGGGTGTGGAGTGTGGGTGTGTGTGTGTGAGTGTGGATATGAATGTGAATGTCAGTCTTCTGTTCGTCCACACCTACACCCACACCTACACCCACACCCACACCCCACCCGCCCCCACTTCACGTCTTTCACGGAAAAAATTTGTAATTCATTATCTTTCCAACTTAAGATTGAATAAAGATAAGAAAAGTTTTAAACATTATGTTATCTTTCTCTTCAAACACTGACAAACAACGGAAAGCAAATTTTATCACGTTCTCTTCATCACCTGTATGATTAGTTGAAGATAACATACATCACCCTGTTCGATGTTATCAACCTCTTCACCCTTCCTTTTCTCTCACATACTGCGAGAGTGTTGTCTTTCGTCTCTTATTGTTGGTAGTCACTAGAGGATTAATCAACAATAAGCCATAATATGAATAAATGATAATACTCGCAGTGTTTTTCTCAACAAGTATGAGCAAACCATTTGCTTTCGTCGTGCTCGAATATTTCTCCGAAGCAAAACTTGTCCAATTGAGCAAACGACGGACTAAAGATCTAATTTTGTTACTTCGTCACGATTAGTCTTTGTCTCAAAATCAACTCGTTCATGACCATTCATTTGAAAATCGAGAGGGAAACTTATTTTCAGACAAAGACTAGTGGGGACAGGCGATATGGCACGCGTGAATAAGGATTTGAATAAAAACCAATGCATGTCATCAGCGACGATATATAGGAGGGTGTGGGTGTGTATGTCAGTGTGTGGGTATGGGAGTTTCTGCGACACCCACACACTCAAGTTCACATTGAAAAGGATTTCATATTTACATAAAGAAACAAAAAAAAAACTATTTGCATTACTTGATGACGAAGTTGGCAATTTTCACGATAACTTATGTAATCTGAAGATACTGTAGGTAAAATTATGAAAGATGAATGTTCTAAGAAATTAAATGTTTATCTATTTTGCTTATCGTTGTTGTGTATCAATGATCCCACATGCTTCATTTTTCGTTTCTCCTTATCATTACGTTCTAAACATCATATGGAAGTATAGTTTCCAAGAATCCATCCACTATTCATTTTTTTCTCTATGATTGTTGTATATAAGTGACATAGTTTTCGAGTTTTTACCATCATACAAATTCGAAAATAATTTTGTCAAATAGTGTTCTATTATGAATAATCAAATACAAGAACATGTTTCAAATGGCATCGCATTGTCCACCGCAAGTGAACCCATTATTGCGAAATCAACTTCAACTAATCAGAAGTCAGTTAATAGCAAATTTTCTATCTACTGTCTCTCAGAAAAGAAAAATTTGAATAAAAAGTACAATTCAATAGACGAATTGAAAGCAGATGCTTTTGTTCTTTATAAAGATTGGCGATTCGACAATGATAATGCAATTCTAACATATTTTGATCAGAGCGATTCAGAAAGGTTACTCAGCAGTGTGCCCGAACCACAAAAAAACGGTCGACATAAAGACATATTTATTAAATTTGTATGTATTTTCTTTGTAATAAGTACACAACTAAATATTATCATTTGTTTAAGATTCATCCTGCGTGTGCAATATGTAGAAAGCCTTTTGGTATCATCGATGATCAACTTCTACTCGAATGTCCGCGAACGAGTTGTAGTCAACAGTACTGTAAAAAATGTGTAGATACTATTCGAGGATCCTATCCTGAACATCCGTTCATATGTTCCCAATGTAAGAATAATGTCATTCCAGAACGCAATCTATTAATTGAGAAACATCTACTCTGGAAAAAGTTTCGCAAGCTTTATGGAGTTGAAAATTTGCAAAATCTCAAATTGAATTCGAAATTAGCGACATGTCCTACTATTTCAAAAGACATTAATATTCGACGTCTTCATCTTCAAACATGGGTAAATGCATTTGAAAAGAAATTGAAAAATGGTAAGTCCATTGACGATTCTGACAAACAACTTATCACTAATGTTAACGAATTAATTACAAAACTTTATGATATCGATAAGAAATTGGAAGATACTAAAGCAGTTATGACACACAATCGTATTATCGTCGGAGATTGCTTAGAAACTTACAAGAAAACATTGAACGGCTTCGATATTATTTGCGAAATATTGATCAGATGTATTGAAGCCAATCAAGCAGACACAGAAACCGTGCATATGAACATTTCTAGTGATCGTCAGAAAATTATTCGAGCTTTATATCGTATGAAAGACTTAGCAAAACTACCATCCGAGCAGAGTATTACTGCTATTGATGGCATTCTTCTAGATATCAGTTTTCGCAATCAATGTCTTTTACCTCGCTACGAGTTGTGCACATCGTTACTTAAAAATAAGCCTCAACTAGCTGTTTCTTTCGGGACATATCTTGGGAAAGCAGATGAAATGTTGAACGCAATGCCAAGTATTCAAGAAAAATTGAACCTTTTGCGCGGAAATTTGAAAGCTGTGAATCGATGTATTGATGAATATGATATATGTTTACGAGATGAAAATTTTCCAGATATTAATTGCTCAAAGTTTATTATTTTACTGGAGAAATTACGTCGACAAGTAGAGTACCACGAACTCAAGACGAATTTTCCTCAGGTTATTGGATTAAGTGAAAGATGGCAGAAAAACTACCATATTGGCGATCAATTTGAACCGAAAGTTATTGATCTATTTCAAGCAGTCGACAATGACGTGAACAAAATATTTGAGAACAAAAATTTCATTTATTCACTTTCATATAGAATTGGTATAATTGGTGATGGAAGTGTTGGTAAAACTGCATTAATGATCGCGTTGGCCAATATTGACAAAAATAATTTTTCAACAGTTGATATTGATCGCAGTACATTCAACTATTTACAATTTGATACACATACTTATCGACATCCTCAAAGTAATAAAATCGTTCCGATTACATTTATAGACATACAAGGTGCTACTGATGTTAAAGATTCTGAATCAATTGGAAGTTATATAGAATTGATTTCAATAGCCGATTGTGATTTATATCTTATAGCATTCGATAAACCTTTTAGTAAACATAATCGTCATTGTCAAGAACATATCGAGAATACATTAAGACGAAAATATATATTAGTGCGAACAAAAACTGATATGTTGTTTTCTGAATTCGCGAAGAAAAAATCCAATAACGAGCATAGAGACGATTCAATTAATTATTATGATTCTAAAATTGCTCTGAGTGACACCAGACAAAATGCTTCAATTAGTTCTGATCGTGAACGTCTTTCCGATGAAATATACTTAACAGCGGCTGGTTATGATGATATGTTGAAAAATTCGCCTTTTTTCACATTCGATTTGGAAAAACTGAAAAAGAAATTAGTTCGATTGGCTATTAAAGATACCCGAGTTGAACGTATGTTTAAAATAACTTTCTCTGCTTTAACAACTACAATCAACACGTGTTTCCGTCGTGGATACATAGTTTCGTCAACACGTTATCAATGGATCGCTGCTGCATGTAGTCTCATTCCATTCCTTGACGAACTACCAGCTTTTTATGGACGTGAAAAAATCCGTCAAGTCTTTGGCATTCATGGCAATTCTACACAGACAAATACATCAAGCAGCACAACAACCTCGTTTGAAAAATATCTGATAGAAAAAAACTTTACTATACCAAAAACTTACTTGAAATCCGGCTGTTTTGAATATCTTTGGTGTGGTAAAGAGAAGCAATCAATGGCAAACGCCGCCAACGACTCTAATGCATTTTTTCAATTGCCAGGAACATGGAACTCCAAAGATAAGAGTGTTACGTCACAAAATACTAAAGCTTGCATTGGTCATGTTGCCTACACCATAGTTGGGCGACCTGCTACCATTTTAGGTGCCATCGGGAAAGTATTGGACAGTACAATCCAAATCGCAGTTCCGGCTTCAGCAGCTGCTTTGCGTGCTGCTTCAATTGCTGGTATCGTTATTGGTGTGGTATTGACTCCAGCATTTGCTCTGTGGTCATTCTATTCTACTGGAAAACGAATGGACGAGCATCTACATATTTTATGCGATGATTTACATGTCATAGCTGCATATTTCCTTGCTGCAATATATAATAGCCATATTAATATTACAAGATTGCCTGAGATTGTATCATTCGATACGGCACTTTCAGGAGCTGATGAAAGTTCTTCCGATGAAGAATAAAGTTTTAATAATTATTGTCGTACTCATAATTCTTTTTTGAGAGGGTAAATATTGTATTGCATGTTTTTCTAAAATATGTGTGTGAAGACGTAGCAGAGTTTGAAAGGGTCGATTACGTGCTTTTCTTGTATTTCGGTATGGGGTGTGGGTGTAGGTGTAAGTGTGGGTGTGGAGTGTGGGTGTGGGTGTGAGAGTGGGGGTGTGGGTGGGAGTGTGGGTGGGAGTGTGAATTCTTTCTTCGGGTATTCAAATGCACACTCACACCCACACCCACACCCTTTAATATATGTTGGCATAATTTTGGTTCGTCAATACCACCAAGGCAATCAATATTGCCATCATTAGCTTTGTCAATAGATCTACATATAAATTGATTATTGTAAGATGAGATGCATGTGTGTTCAGTTGTTGAACACTTTAATGTTGAATATGGATTACAGTCTACTTCATCTGCACCATTTGAACAAGACCAAAGACCATCACAACGAGTGTAAATGTTATTGCATGACCATTATTCATATTCTGTCTCGTCTGTTTCATTTTTACCTTCAATGATTAGTGAAGACATATTGGTATATCCATTGCAAATATATTGAAATGAAATATTTCATCCTAGTTGTGTAAAGATGAAAATCTTCACCTTCACACCATTCTGGATTATAAAAATAACAGTAACAAATTCCATCTTTAACAAACAATAAATGAATATATTTGTTAGAATTTTCACATTTAAAAAAGTGTTTTAAGTTTTGTTGTGTTGATTTTGTTGATTTGCTTGATTTCTTCATCGTCTTTTTGAGGACAATCAAATTTATTGTCCATAAGACGATTTATTGAGATACACTTGATTGAATTAATACATTGGTATATGTTTGTTTTATTACAAATTGCAGATGTATAAATAAAATTTAGGTAACGAGTCTTCAATTCATTGATAATTGGATACCATACTCGTGAAAATATGCCTTCAAAATGATATACAACATTGTTAAAATCTTTTGGCATATCCGGATGGATACATGTTCTATTTTTGAACAACACTTTGGTGTAATGTGTAGAATATTCTTCATAATGAGAACTGTTATAACATATGTATTGTATTGGAAAGCTTCTATTGAGTACAGATAAAAAATCGTCTTTCCTATATCCAAAGTAAATATCACCGAGAAAAAGCGGAATATTTGGAAAATAAAATAGATCTGTGCATGTGTTCCGAATGATTTCAACACATAATGATGTTTTACAAGTTATAGGAAAATTAGGTACGAATGGTAGATGTATTTGAAAGATGGATTTTACAGCTGATAAACACTGTTCAGATGTAGAATTGTCTTCGACTGAATACATCGCTTTCAATAGGTCTTATGTGCGATAAGAGTCTTGATAGCTTGACAGATCGATATACCATTTCCTGTCTCGTTCACAACCAGATACTGATGGATTATATTTACAAAATTCAGTCGTATACATGTTCTATTCGTCAGAACCATCAGAACATTCCGAAGAATCGCTATCATCTTTAAAAAATGACATCGGTATACATTATCCATTAATACATTGCTATTCATTATCATTACATGCATTTATTTCAAGTTGCCAACAATTTTCTTCGTCAATTTTGCTATTGATACAATCCATTTGTCCATCACAAACTTCTCTCCAATCTAGACATATTGGTGTAGGACCATGATTACATGATAAATGCATATAACAAGTCGAAGGTCGTTTAGTAAGTGTATAATCTTTAATAAAGCGTTCAATCGCTTCGTCGATATATAAATAACGTCTAGGATTCAAATAAAGCTTATATTGGCACATGGATCCAAATTTTGGAAATGTACAATTATAGTAGGTTTGTGTTTCCAAAGATTTATCATTGATAACGCTCAGCTACATCGACTGGTGCTGACCAAAGGTATAATTGTTGACTAGTAATATTTTGTTTAGCTAGCTCGCCAAAGGTAAACTTTTGAAAGGTACTATTGTTCTTAATAGAAAGTTTCGATGTCAATTCATTCATACAATAAGTTTTAAATTCACGGTTCATACCAATTTTACCAATCAATGTAATATGTAAACAATTACATCGTAATCTGATTTTATTTTCACTTTCTACATCTGTGTAGTGAAAATTGATTTGAGGCTTAGAAAAAATTAAATTGCAGAACATAAAATTCACTAAAAATTTCATATTAAACATTTTTTTTTTATAATAAATGCCGTGGAAAGTGAATATAGGAATGATTATTTATATAGTTCATGTAAAATATAGTCTTTTTCTTTCTTAAATATTATACATCATTGGAGATTGTTGATTTATTGAAATCATTTAAACATTGATAGTTGTAAATGAATTTCTTACGTGTATT